CACGGTACTGGTGATCATTACATTAATGACTGGACATTTGCAGGAAGAAAAATACCAGTAAAAATGTCCTGGACAAAGCACTGATTATTATTAATTGGTTAAATCTCCACCATTAAGTACAAATCTTTTTAATATTTTGTGTGAGGAAACAGAAATGAAAAGTATGTTTAAAGTACTTCTGTTGCACACTGAGGTATAAACATATATAAGGAAGGAAATTAATAATATAGAAAAAGTGTTAAAATAGAAAGCAAATATACAAGAATGAGAACCCAAAACACCAAAAGTTAGCCTTGGAAAAACTAATATCATTAATAAACTACTTCCAAGTCTAGTCAAGAAAAATGAGAGGTGACAATAACACCAGGATTGAAAAGGGAAACATCACTACAGATTCTGCAGATGTGAAAAAAGTCACAACAGGACATTACAAACAACTTTATGACAAAATATTCAAAAGTACATATAAAACTAACATATATCTGAAAAAAGTAAAATGTATAGAAATCAAATAAGAGCAATAAAAATACAAAGAAATTTGATCTCAAGTAAAACTTTCCCACAAAGAAAACTTTAAGTACAGTGAGCTTCGCTAGTGAATTCTACCAAATATTTAAGAAAGCTGTATCACCAATCTCAGCAAACATGTCCAGGGAAAAGAAAAAAAAAAAAAATGTGAGAGAGACAGAGAGACAGAATTTTCAACTTGTTTAACAGGGCCAGTCTAACCTTGATATCAGATCTTATTAGTGTTTGGTAACACTGATAAGAAAAGAAAAAAAAACAAATCAACCTTAAAGCCCACTATTAAGACTTCTTAATTGGTTGTTTTTATTATATATAAACGTTATTTTGCGTTTAAACAAAACAGCTGTAGTTTTTGCTTAACGATTCTAAGGAATAACCATAATGTGTCTGAATTCAGAGTACATTTTGAAGGTATGTCATTAGAATGCCCCTATGAACACAGAATATCTGTAGATGGTAACCAAATGGCTCTAGGAACAGCCAAGGAAATTGGGATGGGTTAAAAATAAAGTGTTTATCTTTCTCTACAGCACAGGAGGATACGAGATTGCATATTTATTTCTAGATTCCAAAACAAGTTCCAGATGAATATATAACCTTTTGTGTTCATAGTCCTTTCTTTTTCATAAATGCAGTATAAAAGAGACATGTAATTTATTTATATCCTGAACCATTATCTTACTCCATCAATTAAAACTGGGAACAAAATGAGTGGCTACCTTTATTATTTAGCTTTGTTTCTTAAGAACAACCCTTACCAACAAATTCCTTACTTCCCATAATACTTTAGTCAGGATCCTAGACTGTAATCCATATTCATTTGAAGTTCTGCCAAATGTTAATATTTCTGATATTCATATGGCATGCATTTATTTGAGCATTGTAAAAACTTTTCAGCAATTTAGTCCACCTTCATTCCAACCTAGCTAAGTGAAATTTAGTTGTTGAAATATTGTTTCCCTCTAACAGAAAATACAGAAGACAACAAAAGTCAGTAAGTTATTAACATTATGAGGCATGTTGTCAATACTTTCCTACTTAAACGTTTCCAAGGCATTGCTTTTCCCTTATGTCCACTCAAATTATAATGTTCCTTTTTATTTCCTTTTTACTGATTTGAGAATCTCTATTATACAATACTGTTGGGTTATCTATATGAATTTTTTAAATTTGAATTTCATATGTCATACAAACTTCATTAGTTTCATCATTCTAAAGTTTTTTTAAAGTGTGGTTATCAGCATCAAAGTCAAAATAGATACACAAAACATCCAGTTAACCTGTGGAAAAGTCTACTTGTGGAATGTATGTTAAATAAAGCAACTTGAATGCCATAAACAGTCTACCACTGTTAACAAATGACATTGCAAAGAAGAAATATCCTATTTCCTATGCCCCCTGGCAAAAAAGAAGATGCTTTAATTCCAGAAGAACAATATACTAATATAACATTGGTATGTTCAAAGTATGTATAACTTTCATGTGGAAATTTAACAAGGTCAGTTATACATTAAGTGTTTCATGCATTTTTGCTACATTAATATATTTATACCTTTAAAAATTGCCAATGCAATCAATGTTTAATAAGTAGAAATGCATATCTCAGAGGTACCATCTTAGATACCATTCTAAAAAAATTTAAATTGCCCACCAAAAATATTAACAGAAAAAAATGGACATGAGGTACACATTGTCTAATTGTTAAACAATCAATGGATCAATTTTGTTTATATCTTCAATATTATCAATTGGAAACACAGAGATAAAAACTGTGTTTTCCTGAATTTCTTAAACTGATAATTTTTAGTATTACAAGCTATGTTAATAGATACTGTAAACTTAGTGTAAACTAAAATGAAAGAACTTAGAATTTGAACCAAATATAAACACACATGCATCAACATGATTCTATAAGACTCAGACACACATTATAATTATTGTTAAATGTCATGTTTTTCAAATGATTTGAAATAAAATAACAGCAATAAATATTTTATTTCTAGAATTCTGTTGTTTTTAAGGCATTCAGGATACTATGGCAAGAATTCTTTTCTCAAGAATTAAGATCAGATCAATATGTAATTGAACAGGAAGGCATAAATAACAAATGCCTTTGTGAATTACAAATACCCCATATTTATAGAAGTTATTTTATTCATGTTTTTATGAATTATACTTCATTTATTTATAAGGAAATATTCAGCCCACAAAAATAATTAGCAGACCAATGAGCTACCTAAAAAGCGAAATATCAACAATGATGGAAAAAGATTGTTCAATTGAATGAATGGAATGGTACAATATTCCTGAACATTTGAACAGTATGTCTCTATTATTTTGTTTATCATTTACATAAGTTTAAAAATGTGGTGGAAAGGGGCTTTTTTCCTCTGTTATTTCCTATATTTTTTCCTTCTAAATAGCTAATTTTCCTTCTAACTTCTAGATTCATCAGCCTTCCTATCACTTAAGTTTCCTTTCTAGTCTAGTGAAAACGTATTTCTAAAAAAATTCCTCACTCCCAAACTTTATAGCCATTACTGGTATTCTCATCTTTTTTTGTTACAGAAAGCAATTAAATAAAAGAAATAAATAGTGAAGTTTCTTGGTAGGAAAAGTGTTTACATATTAAGTGCTCTGATACCTGAAATTTAGCATTATAGTGCACCAATTTCCTCCCCTTAAGTTAACTGAGATTCTATTAAATAGTATCCACTGCAAATTTCACAATGTAATGATCTGCATATCTATTAATTCCTTTGTCACCTATAGAACTGGACTCATACTTAGTCCCAGACATGGCATTGAAGATTTTCATGTTAGCTCCAGAACCAGAAAATTCCTCTGTTATTAGTGTATGTCATGAGGAAGAAAATAATCATTGAAACAATACATTTGAAAGTGACCTTTAAACTGCTAACCACATATACACATTTAAAGTAGAAAAGTAAGTTAAAGGTTTTCCCTCTATGCTAAACAGTGCTACGACCTAATTCATATCTGTACATATTTATTCATTCAGTCAGCATTTACTAAGCATATCTCATATGCTAGATTGTATTATATCATGAAAATATTAAGTACGCAAAATTATAACATATGTAAATTTATTTTATTTACAGTTAACATCGTTACTTAAGAAAGATTAGCTTACAAGCCACTTTTCTTATTTCCTAGAATAGTAAATCAAGGAATGCTTCATTTTCCTTCCTTAATTTCTACATATCTTCTCTTGTATCTAGTATTTCTATGAGAAGCCAAAAAATAATAATGTAGAATCGCTTAAAAATGTTGTCCTAATTCCACTCAAGAAGTTTGAGGGCCAGCTGCAGTGGCTCATGCCTGTAATCCCAGCACTTTGGGAGGCCTTGGCGGGAGGATCACTTGAGACCAGGAGTTTGAGACCAGCCTGGGCAACATAGTGAGATCCCCGTCTCAAAAAAAAAAAAAAAAAAAGTTTTGAAATGCCAAGGGCCACCAACAGACAAATTGAAGCATTTGAATTACTTAACTTTTATTAGATACACTTCTCCCAAATATAATATTTATTTATTTGTTAAGTGTATCTGTCCTCTAAAATAAATTAAATCCAAGTTGAATGGACTTTGGATGGTAAGTGCACCTTTGAACACACAAATGTTTCTGACATAAAAATTACTCATCTTTCCTCTTTGTAAAATATTTTCAATAAAAACACAAAACAAAAGGTTGTCAAGTCCTTTATCCAACAGTGTGATCTTCTATCAGTATAAATAGATGTTATGAACAGGCTTGTAACGTCTGTGTCCTTACAAAACACTGCTATGGAGCTATTAGCTAGGTTTTACAGTGTCATTCCCAAAGAAGTCACCTTCACCAAAACGGTATTCACGAAAAGTATACGCTAGAGAATACACTGTATTTTATTAAATAGTACATCATATTCAACATCCAACTAAAATGCCATCTCTATCACAAAAGCTTCTCTGACTCCTTCCTCTCCACTCAAATGTTTTCTCATGTTCTCTTTCTCCCTTCATTTAATCCCCATTGCAATTTATTTTTACATCTTAATGTGGTTATTGTCATCTTTTGATAAAGCATTGCAACAATTTAAGTAAATGTCTCACCTTCCATGATATTATATTCATTTTATGCAGATTCTTACATATTTTTCATTCTTTAAATATTAGAGTGCCTTACACATCTCTTGCTTATAAAATATTTTGGTATTTTATTTTGAATTTTAGACCTTTATGCATATTACTTTTATTGTTCTTAAACAGGTTTTAATTTTTTACCCTTGTTTCTCGAAAACAAACTATAAGCCCCTTGAGGCCTAGGATAATCTTCTAATACTTTTTATATTCCCAGATTTCTTAGCACAGGAAGTGCTAAGAAGGAGTGTTTAATTCAATTGATGAAATATTGCCAAAGGCTTATCTAAGAAACATTTCAGAACAGAACTAGCAGCCATCTCCTGGTCAAAGGAATTAAATTCCATAAAATTTGCTTACCATGGCATTGACATTAGCGTGATCCCCTTTCCTATTCCAAACCTGAATACAGGATATTGGCAAATTCAGTCCTACCCCAGTGGCAAGATTTTGCAGGTCAGCAGCGTTGTACTCCCCACGCAACAGCAAACTGTTATTATCAGAACCAAGTCCTAGGGAGGCCCGATAGAGATAAGTCTGAGAAAGTCTCTCAACTGTAGTGACATCTATGGTGGCTGATGTCATGCAAGGATTTGAAACCAACTTCCTTCCATACCTCAGATCCTCTGTAGAACGACAGCAGCTCTGAGGGCAACAGCCTGGGTTCTGACACAACTTGGCACACATGACGAAAAGTAAGCACCCCAGAAATAAAAAGGAAATACAGGCCAAGGCAATTACTAAATACAAGTTCTGGGCAGAAAGCTGCCCTCCTGGTTCCCAAACATCTTCAAAGTCTGGAAGTAACTGAGGGACAGAGTTGCTCAACAGCACACCCAGAGTGACAGAGGAGGAAAGTGGTGGGTCTCCACGATCCTGAACCACTACCACCACCCTCTGCTTGACTGCATCAGTGGGAAGAACTAAGCGAGCAGTACGGAGCTCACCTATATTGGCTGAAATTCTAAAGAGACTAGAGTCAGACGCCCGGGAGATGTGGTAGGAAAGCCAGGCATTGGAACCACTGTCTGCATCCTCTGCTACCACTTTTGTGACCAAGTGTCCAGTCCTGGCAGAGCGGGGCACAATTTCCACTGGAACAGAACCATTTCTGGGCAAGGGAAACAAGATAACTGGAGAATTGTCATTCCTATCTACCACAAACAAGTTTATAGTCACTGTCGCACTTCTGGGAGGAATGCCACCATCCCGGCCTTCTACCTGAAAGTGAAACCCCCTGAGCTGCTCAAAGTCAAAGGAATTTTTGGCAGTGATGGCCCCACTGGATGATTCCACTGCCACCAAGCTAGAGGCTGGTGGCCCCTCAGAGATAACATCCAACAGCTCATAAGAGACAAGGCCGTTCTTCCCCAGGTCGGGGTCCCGGGCAAACACTCGGCCTAGAGAGGCCCCAGGGCCATTGTTTTCAGCAACAAAAAGTTCCTGCTGCAGTTGAGGAAAGCTTGGTGTATTGTCATTCACATCAGCAACTGACACAGTGATTATCCTTCGGGTGCTAAGTGGGGGTGAGCCACTATCTGAGGCCGTGATTAGGACTTGGTATTCACTGATCTGCTCCCGGTCCAGGGGCCCATCAATCAGCAGGCTGTAGTAGTTGTCAAAGGAAGCCGTCAGCTGAAAAGGGCCTCCACTGGACATGCTACAAATGACTCTACCATTGGAACCGAGGTCTTCATCCTTTACACTAAAGAGAGCAATCACTGTGCCAGGAGCAGCGTCCTCGGATACTGGGTTCCAAAGAGTCATGAAGTCCAGTTCAGGGGCATGATCGTTCACGTCAGTCACCTCCACCAACAATTTGACCGTGCTAGCTAGACCAAAGGCACCTTCGTCCCTCGCCTCAATGTATGCTTCCAAGAGCGTTTCAGGCGGACCTAGTGAAGCAGCTACTTGCACCTCCCCACTTTTAGGGTGCACATGAAAGCGGTGTCGCAGCTCTGCTTGCGTGCTATTGCTTAGGGAGTATCGGACTTCCCCATTGGACCCTTCATCTGGATCCAAGGCTTGAACTCGGAATAACACAGTCCCATTGGGTGCAGTTTCTGGAACCTTAGTGCGGTATACGGAGTGCTCAAATACAGGCACGTTGTCATTTGTGTCCACCACAATGATAGTGACTTGTGCGTCTCCTGAGCGGGCAGGTAGCCCGCCGTCCCGAGCTGTAAGCACCAGCAGGTGGCTGGCGCGCTGTTCGCGATCCAGTGCTTTCTCCAACACCAACTCCGGGTATTCGCTTCCGTCAACCCGCGATCCCATGTCCAGGCGAAAGTGCTGGCTGGGGCTTAGGCTGTAGCTTAGCATCCCATTGCTTCCTTCGTCGTCATCTTGAGCATTCGGGAGAGTAAATCGGGCTCCGGGCATCAGGAACTCCGGGATGTGCAGCTGCAAGTCGCCGGCAGGAAAGAGAGGTGAGTTGTCATTAGTGTCCAGGACGTGAATGCGAATCTTGTGCAGTTCCAGCGGGTCCTCGAGCACCAGGTCGTAGGTCAAGACACAGGGAGCTTTGGCCCCGCACAGCCGCTCGCGGTCCGCCGGCTCCCTGACCACCAAGCTGCCGCTTGCCAGGTCCACCCCGAAGTAGAGCTCGCGGTGGCTGGAAAGGAAGCGAAAGTTCCGCGAGGACAGAGTGGCCACGGGCAGCCTCAAGTCCGCGGCGACATTGCCTACGGCTACGCCCCGCTCCGTCTCCTCCGGCACTGAGTACTCGAGCTGTCCGGCGGCAGCGCCGCAGGAAACCCACAAACATAGAACGGCCACCCCCGAGCCTACCATCCTCCCTCTGGGCGTCCACGTTCGACCAACGCGCTCCACCAACGCTGACCCAGGACCATGCTCCGGACTCCCGGAGAGCACGAGCCGCGGGAAAGAGCACGCTCCGGCCGGCCGTCACTGCTCCGGGCTAGATACTCAGTGACCTCCGACGTTGCGCCTCCGGAACGCCGGCATTGCCGGGCTGGCAGGCTGGGAGCCGGGCTTGCTAGGCTGGAGGCTGGGCAGCCGTCTGGGAAAGCGAAGCCGGCCCGGTGTTGAGGAGCGCAGCGCCGCCTAGGGGTGTAGAGACGAGGCTGCCCGTCCGGTGCGAGAGGCGCCGTCTCCAGGAGCTGCGAGCCGGCGGGGGTCTCGCCCACGGCGCTGGCAGGAGGCGCCGGGCGGAGCCTGGGAGACGCCCTGAGACACTAACTAAAGTCTCTCCTTAAACGGCGTTTTCTAGGGCAACGCCCTGAGGCTGCCCCCGGAGCCTTAACCTCCACAGCCTCTGCCCACAGACTGCTGGTAACGGGCTGAGCCCCGATGGGCTCCTTCTGCCAGCCTTTGGGAGCCGCGCGTCGGGTCCCCGCTCGTCGGGTCCCCGCGCTCCGACCCCCGCGCACCTCTACGGTGGAGAGGGCGGGACTCCGCGTGGAGCCGCCGGACGGAGGCGGCGGGAGGCGGGACCGTGAACGTGAGGAACCACGCCTTCTAGGCTTAAGGCTGCAGCAGCCCCCCAAACAAGAGCCGGGCGGCTTTCCGCCCTGAATCCTGCTGCGATTTGAAGTCTGTCCTGCACCCTCTTGTATCCCAGGAGTTGCCAAGAGTGCAAATAGAGACGACAAGGCGGGAAAGATGGGGGAATAGTGTTCGCATCCAACTGTCTGCGGACTCTGGCTTTTCGAGGCAGCAGAGCCAGCGAGCTCAAGGCTTTTTTGCGTGACAGCAGTTTCTCCTTCCCCAAGAGGCTCTACTTGGAAGTGCTTTGCAAACGGCTCTTGACAATCTGGGTGAAAGAGGGAGTCATAAACCAGTCAATAGCAATAACTAGAAACTCAAAGATTTGACAACCTGTCCCCAAAGAGGACGTGAGAAGAAGTGGAGCGGAAAGTACTGAGATGCTCATGAGTTTGGCCAGGAAATTACTCTGTAATCTTTCTGTAAATATTTAAAAAACACCATGAGGCAGGATTAGAATAGGCTGAATACCCATCCTTTCCCCAGCCTCGCTTTTAATTTGGTCATCTACGTGGAATTTGGGACAGTGATCAGTTCTATGAAAAACAACTCTGAGCCACAACAGATACACCCAAATTCTGCCTAACACCCTACAACCAGTTCCTTTCCCTAAGAAGGAGGCGAGCCAAAAAGAGACTCATTGACTATTGACTATTAAGCATTAAATTCCTCATTCAAATCCTTCTTTTAATACAGGCGCAATGTTCAAAGACCCAATAATCAAAATTTGAAAGGCAAAATCTGAACACAGATCAAGAATTAAAGTTTCCAGGACATATTTTCTGGTAGAAACCTGCCTAAAACTAACGATAATTATTGAACGTGGGTGATGGTACATTGGGGTCAGTTACACAATTCTCTCAACTTTAGTGTATGTTTGAATTTCCTTCCTTCCTTCGTTTCTCTTCCCTCCTTCCTTCCTCCCTTCTTTTCTTCCTTCCTTCCTCTTTCTTTCTCTCTTTCCTTCTTTCTTTTGAGATAGGGGTCTTGCTTTGTTGCCCAGGCTGGTCTCAAACTCCTGGGCTCAAGTGATCCTCCCAACTCAGCTCAGTTTCCCCAAATGCTAGGATTACAGATATGAGCCACTGCACTCACCCTGCTTTTTTTTTTTTTTTTTTTTTTGAGACAGGGTCTCGCTCTGTCGCTCAGGCTGGAGTGCAGTGGTGCGATCTCAGCTCCTTGCAACTTCCCCCTCCCAGGTTCAAGCGAGTCTCCTGCCTCAGCCTCCCAAGTAGCTGGGATCACAGGCACACAACACCATGCTCAGCTAATTTTTGTATTTTTAGTATAGACAGAGTTTCACCATGTTGCTCAGGCTGGTCTCGAACTTAGCCCGCCATGGCCTCCCAAAGTGCTGGGATTACAGACGTAAGCCCCACGCCACCGCGCCCAGCCTCAACGTGCATATTTCTATAATATTTTAAATATTTTTAAGTTGCCGATTAAATTGGTGGAGAGAGGGGTTGCTCTGGCATTCTCTTTTTAACGCTAAGAGTAGGATTGATAACTCCAGTGTTCCACCAAAAACCAGTTACCTCCCCTGAACACACAAACCCATTCCTTATCTCTTCCAGGGAACTAGAAAAAGCACACTGTGATATAAGGTAATGTAAGTAGTAATACTCCTTGGTTAGTTTGCCTTTTTAGGTTAAGAAACCAAAAGATCATTGATACCAAATCTCAGATAACATTAAAGGAGGAAACATGCCAGCCTATTAGGTAGAGTCACAAGTACAGACCACAGTAGACCTCACCAGGATGCAAAACAGTCCCTAAAAAATAACTTATTCTTCACCAAATTCCAAAACCAAAACAAATTTTCTGCTTCAGTGCCAGAGATTAGTATTTGCATTTCTTTATTTTAGATTAATGCTGCTAAGCAAGCTAACTGCTTTGGAATGAAAGGTTATTCTTTCTGTCTTAAACAGATGAAATACAAAAGGAAAGATGTGCCCAACTTTTGGCAGGCCCCTTACTTTTAGATCTGCAGCCAAGCCTCCAATAATACCAGGTTTAGGAATTCTGAGCTGCACCTAGAGGAATAGTATGTGTGGGTGTAGATTAGGGCATGAGGAAAAAGGAAAAATGCATATAGAGAACAGCATGGGAAATCTTCACAGAAACTCCTCCTTCACACCTTCTCAGATTTTTGGTTTCCCTTTTTCCCATTTCTCTATTTAAACTGCCACTGACGTCTATTTTCAAAAGATTTCATTTGTAAGAAGAATAAGGAAAGCATCCACGCAGCAGAATTTGTCCCTCCATATGTCTCCCTAACTTTTGGCGTAACATTGGATTCTTATTCAAGTAAACTGGGATTTGTGAGAAAGTAACATTTAAGAGAGAAGTATATCCCAAAGATAAGAAAGGCTAAAGAATTTTGCCGTTTAGATAAGATAAGCAGATAAACATTAAAATTATGAATTAACAAAACTTCTCTTTAGCAGGACCTTTCATTGCTGGTATTTCATTTTGTCCTTTTTTTGAGACAGAATCTTACTTCATCATCCAGACTGGAGTGCAGTGGCATGAACATGGCTCACTGTAGCCTCTACCTCACCAAGCTCAGGTGATCCTCTCACCCCAGCCTCTTGAGTAGCTGGGATTACAGGTACACGCCATCATGCCCAACTAATTTTTTAAAATACTTTGTAAAGATAGGGTCCCACCATGTTGCCTAGGCTGGTCTGGAACTCATAGGCCAAGTGCCACCATGTCCAGCTAATTTTTTAATTTTTTGAAGAGATGAGGTCTCACTACGTTGTCCAGCCGGTCTCAAACTCCTGGGCTCAAACGATCCTCTCACCTTGGCCTCCCAAATTGCTACAGCAGATATGAGCCACTGCATCTGACCAAAAATTTATCTTTCTATAATATTTTTTTCTATTTCACCCTCATAATGTGACCCTAAAACCTTAAAGTCATACTCCCATTGGTCAAATAAGTGCTGACATGAGGAGGCCTAGCTCTTTCATTCTAAATGCTATCTATATAGTAATAGTGTCCAAAACTGCAGTCTTACAATCAGGGAAAACCATTCTCGTGGTCCACCTGTTGTCCTTGCTATGCCACTGGCTGAAGACAAACTAGATTTCCATTGCTGGAAGCAAAAATCTGAAATTTATTTGTGTCTCAAAAATTTTTCTTGCATGACGTCTTCGAATTTTTTCCCCTTTGTCTATGTATTTGGTCTCTTTGAAGACATCTATTAGCAGTATGCTGTATCTCTTTTTTCTGTATTCTAAAGTGATACTTCTCTCTCCAATGCTTTAAAATTCTTTATTCTTTTCCACTCATTTTCCCCAATGTTTTCAAGTGTTTCTTTTTGTTCTTGACTGTATGGAAGCAGAGCCTGTTCACTTTTTTACTGCTTGCAGTATAGCCATATTTACTGTTTGATGGAGTAGTTTGTGTGTGCCATAGTTTTAACATATCTTCAACTGATGAGAACTAGCAGGTGCAGGGCAGCTTGTCATCCAGAGTTTGCCACACCCTTAGGTTTGATCTTGAAATAACAGTGCATCTGCTCACTATCATATTTAGTCCTGCCTTCTCTCCTATTTTGTATTGACGAATAGGATTATGGGAGAATCCTGCCTTCAGCCTCTGTACCTAGATCTTTTTTGTTCCAAAACAAGGAGTCATTGGTTTTGCATCTCAGTGAGAATCACTACTCTAGAAAACACCCATCTACCAGCCCTCTCCAAGATCTCCAGTGACAGATATCCTCTCCTAGTATTGTTAATCTTGGTCCAATCTTCATTGCACTTAGTAACTTATGTTTATATACATCGGGGTTGAGGTTCAAATGTTTTACAGAGTTTCATCAAAGATGTAACTTTATTTTTTTGTCTGCTTTACTTTTTGTTGTTTTTGATGAGTTTTATGGAAGATAAGAGACATTTAAATATACATTTTCATTTATCTATAGTTGGTAGAAATATCACTTTTTGCTTAGTGGGATTTCTACATTTTGACGGTATGTGGGAAAGTTACAATTTGTATATTCGTTTTTTAAACTAATTGTTTCATTGAACTGTTTTTTAGTTATATTTTTTCCTTTGATTCTCTGGGATTTTTACAAGCATAATATTATATTGACTATAAATTTTATCATTTAATAATATATTTTATCCTCCTTTCTAACATTTTATATATATGTTGTATGCATATATATATACACGTGCAAATATGTATATATGTATATAAATGTACACATATACATCTTATCTTGTGTTATCTAGAACATCCAAGCCAATATCAAACAGTAGCCAAGAAGTGCCCTGTTATGCTTACTTTTTCTATGGGAGTAATTCTTGTGTTTACTGTTTAAAATTTAGGTGGCCAGTGTTTGATGATGACTGTCCAATTTTTATTAAAGTCCCTTAAAATATCTACCATATAATATAGCAAAGCTTTTTTTAGAGAATGTTGTATCAGCAGATTTTTATTTCAG